GGCAAGAGTTGAGGTTTAGGAACCTCTTCCTAGATTTCAGATGATGTATGAAAATGCCTGGATATTCAGGCAGAAGTCTGATGCAGGGGCTGAGCCCTAATGAAGTGACAATACTGGGCCAGCGCAGAAGGACAGTGTGGTGTTGGATCTATCACAGAGTTCCCACTGGGGCACTGGCTGGTGGATCTGTGTGAAGAGGGCCTCAATGCTTCAGATCCCGAAATGGTAGCTCCACCAACAACTTGCACGGTGTGCCTGGAAAAGCCATAGGAACACAATGCCAGCCTCTGAAAGCACCCATGGGGACTGTACCCTGCAGAGCCGCAAGGGTGGGGTCTCACAGGCCTTGGGAGACCACCTCTTGCATCAGTGTGTCCTGGATGTGAGACATGGAGCTTTACAATTTATTGACTGCCCTGCTGTGGCCTGGACTTGCATGGGGCCCGTATCCCTTTTGTTATGGCCAATATCTCCGATATGGATGTTACATGTTTTTGACTTTACATGTTTATAGGCAGAAGAAACTTATCGTGTCTCAGAGGAGACTTTACATTGTAGATTTTTGTGTTAATGCTGAAATGAGTTAAGAATGGGTGACTGTTGAGAAGAGATAATTATAATTTACCATGTGAGAAGAACATGAGATTTGGGATGGCCAGGGGTGGAATGATATGGTTTGACTCTGTATTTCCACCCAAATCTCATGTCAAATTTTAATCCCCAAGTGTTGTAGGAAAGATCTGATGGGAACTGACTGGATCATGGGGCCACCCTCCCCTTTGATGTTCTTGTGATACAGTTCTTTGAAGAACTCATGGTTTAAAAGTGTGGTATACCTTCTCTTGCTCTTTCTCTCTGTCTCTCCTGCCAGCATGTGAAGAAGGTCCTTGTTTCCACTTCACTTTCCACAATTATTGTAAGTTTCCTGATGCCTCCCAGTAATGCTTCCTGTTAAGGCTGCAAAACTGCGAGTCAACTAACACATTTTTATACATAAATTTCCCAGTCTCAGGTAGTTGTTTATAGTAGTTTGAGAATGGACTGATACACAGGTTGAAGAAGTTCTGGAGATGAAATGCACGCTAATGTGATGATGCTAATGAATATTATATTACAAATTTATCTTTTGCCAGAAGAGTAGATC